GAATGTATGGATTGTGATAAGAGATGTAAGAGCCCCCAATAAAAGTATTTAATAATTTTTTAAAATCCATAGGTCTGTACCATTTATCTACTTCTTCTTGAGTGAGTTGGTGAGTTTGTGACTTCAAAGACATTTTCCTGTTTCATTTGTGATGCAAAAAACCAACCTTTTGTAGTAGCCCCTTGTCACATTCTTCATGTTCAAAGGGTCTGTAATAAAGGCTCCCCCCATCCCTGACACCGGCCACTCAGCTTCTCTCCCCATCAGTGTGGCTGGAGGGCTGTCAAGCTTACTAATCTCCTCAAAGACATGACTTCCAGTTTCATGGACTTGTGTTCTGTTTCCCATTTCATTGATTTGTGTCTCATTTTCTTTATTTTCTCTCATCTGCCTACTTAATTTGATTTTCATTTTTCCTGGTTCCTGAAGGTGGAACGTGAGACCTCTCTTCTGTTCTAACATTGGGGTTTTAGTGTAAACTTCCCTCCCGAGTCTGAGTCTAAAGACTCGGTTCGCTGCAGCTCATGGCTTGCAGGTTGGACTTCTGTTTGCCTTCAGTTCAGAAGGCTTCCTCGTGTCTATTCCAGTCTCTCCTTTGGCCCGGGGGTTCAGTAGAGTCAGACTCTGAGTCATTTCCCCAGATATCTTTCATTTACATGTTTCTGATGAAAACATGGCTTTGTCTGACCTGGATCCCTTTCAATTCATTGTATGTCTTTTCTCTTTTTTCTACGACTGTTCGGAAGATTTACTATTTTTCCCTTCTGGTTTTAATCAATTTGGTTGACCTGAGTATAGAATTCTTTCTGTTTCTTGTTCCTTCTTGAGTCTGGTGGTTTTCATAAAATTATTTCTTCAAATACTTTTTCTGTCTCCCACTCACTCTTGTCCTTCGGAAGCTCCAATCGCGTGTATACTAGGCACCCAAAGGCACACCCTGGCTTACTGAGATGCTTGTCATTGATTCGTCACGCTGACATTTTGGATGGTTCCTATTGCTGGCTCTTTGAGATCATTGATTTTTGTTTCCTCTTGAAAATCTAATCTACTGTCAACCCCATCTAGTATATTTTTAATTCGACATTTTATTTTTAGATAACTGTACATTCACATGCAGTTATAAGAAAGAATTTTAAAATCCTTCTAATGTATTTTTCAACCTTAGAAGTTCAATTGAGGTCCTTTTAATAACTTTTATGTCTTTAATATGCTCAAATACTCTTCTTCATATGGTATGTAGGTATAATAACAATTTCAATGTATTTGCCTACAAATTCTATCACCTCTGAGTCTGTTTCTATTAGTTGATTTTTCCCCTAATTATTAGTCAT